ATGCTTTGGTCATACATGCACTTTAATAAGCACATGATGGATAGAAATGAGCGTCGCTCCTCAGCTTTGGCCTGAATGATTGTGTATTGTGGCATCATTTAGGCTAATAGAAAGTATGTTGTTGAACCATGTGTCATATTGAAACCTGTCATGACTTTTGTAGTTTTGAAGTAGTTACTAGCAAACTTTTGATGGTGAATATGATACATGTGTAAATGCTGATGAGGTAAAAGCATGAGAACCACTGTGGTATTGTGACTTAAATATTGCATTTTGTATTCCAACCAAATTGTTACAAGTTATTTACTCACCAAAACCAACTTTCATTTGGTGATTGGCAAGTATTTATTATGGACCTTAACTATATATTTGATATGCATTTTGAATGTATTCTGGCTAGCCTACAGTATTTCTGCAATGTCAGATTTTTTATTTTATTTTTTCAAATACAGAATTAAGTAATAGAGCTCTTTCATCAGATGTAGTTTTTTTCCCCCAGAAAGTGGCGAGTAAGTTCCTTTCACTTGTCAAACTGAAAGTGAAGAGAGAGAATACAGCTTTGTTCATTTTCACATTTCTGAAAGGTTTCACGTCATTTACCTCTTTTGTTTTTACATCACTGTTTTCTGTTCTGTTTCTGTATTTTCTATTCCATGTTGAAATTACCTTTGTTGTATATTTGTTGTTTAATAAAGTCATTTACGTTACCACTGAAAAGTTTGATGTTTTTGAAAAAAAGTCACTTATGCTCACCAACACTGCATTTATTTGATCAAAAATACAGTAAAACAGTAATATTGTGAAATATTATTACAATTTAAAATAACTGGTTTCTATTTTAAAATATAATTAATTCCTGTGATGACAGTTTTTGACAATAATTTTCAGCAGCCATTACTTCAGTCTTCAGTGTCATATGATCCTTCAGAAATAATTCTAATATGCTGATTTGATGCTCAAAACACATTTCAACCTAATGCATTCTTGCTGAATAAAAGTACTTTCGAATAAAAAAACTTTTAAACGGTAGTTTATATATGACCTTTATAGTGCATTTTTAGAAAACTGGAACAAATTAACATCTGTGCTCCTGACTGACCTTAAGACTTAAAAAAAATAAGCATTACTAGTTAGATGTTCAGATGTCAGCATAAATGACTTCTCCAATCAATAAATATTTAAATAAGGCTTGGACTCATTATCATTCATCTGTGACAAAAATCTAAACAGTCTTAATGAGACAATGACAATTATGCTACTTGTTTATTCAGACGCTGGAATTGTTATATAGAAACATTAGAAAGACAGGGCCAATCCAGACATTTTGCAGGAATTCAGGCAAGTTTCAGCACCTCCTGTACCATCACTCCAATTCCATCAAATATTTCATGCAGTGGAGCTTTGCACATGAAAGCGCAGGTGGTGACAATCTTATTTTTCCCATCGACATGAGCCTCATCCACATGCTTGCAGATGTGCTTGCAGCCAAGCTGAGAAATAGCTTCCGCCGTGTCTGGAACATCTGGATACCTGAAAGCCAAAGATTCAGACAGTATGCCTCAGTACTGTCTTTCTGTATCAATAACAAAACTTTCATTAACAATACGGAAACAAAGATAATGGTGTATAAAACACATGGAATTGTATAAACAGAGCTCTGCCTTTTCTGTGGGTTAAAATCGGTTCCTTTGCAGTTCCATCATATTCCTGCTGTGAACAAGCACAAATCATTCCAATGATAATGACTGATACACTAGCATTCAAATTGATAAGATTTTCTTAATGTTTCTGAAAGACGTATCTTATGCTCACCAAGAATGCATTTATTTGATCAAATATCTATAGCCTATAATAATAATTTCAATATAATAATAATTTAATTATTATTATTATGCATTTTGAAAACATCTGCGCTGCTGCATGTTTTTGTGAACACCAAGGATGTGTGCTGAGCCCCCTCTTCACTCTGCTGACACACGACTGCACACCGTCACACAACTCCAACCTCTTTATTAAGTTTGCGGATGACACGACTGTAGTGGGTCTCATTAGCAACAGAGATGAGACAAACTACAGGAGCGAGGTGAGCCGCCTGGCCGGGTGGTGCAGTGACAACAATCTCTCTCTGAATGTGGAGAAGACGAAGGAGATTGTTGTTGACTTCAGGAGAGTGCACACTCAACATGTTCCTCTGACCATCAACGGTGCGACTGTGGAGAGGGTGAGCAGCACCAAGTTCCTGGGTGTGCACATCACAGAGGATCTCTCCTGGGCTGACAACACCGCAGCACTGGCCAAGAAAGCACAGCAGCGTCTCTACTTCCTCCGCAAACTGAGAAGAGCCAGAGCCCCGGCCCCCATCATGTGCACCTTCTACAAAGGCACCATCGAGAGCATTCTGACTAGCTGCATCACTGTGTGGTATGGCGCCTGCAACGCGTCCTGCCGCAAGACACTTCAACACATAGTGAGAGCAGCTGAGAAGATCGGACCCTTCCAATCCCCCCTCCCAAATACACACACACTGACCTGCACCAGTCACTTTGTGCAGCATTAGACTGCTTACTACCTCATCCAGCATTGTACTGCAAACTACCTCTCTGACAGTTTAATTAAAGACCGTTCTCTGAGCTCTTATCACTTTAACAGACTGATAAGCTCTTTTGCACTACATTCGTTATATCTTCACAGTTGTTTATATCACTGGTTTGCACTATAACTGTCATGTGCCTTATGCCACTTTTTCTATCTCCTTTTTATTTTTTTTACACAATGTCCTTATTTGTATATTGTATAGGTTGCATTTTATATATATTTAAACTGTATTTATCTGTATTATGTCTACTGTTAGTGTTAAGTGTTAAGTGTATGCTCCAAGGGTCTGCGAGTAACGCAATTTCAATTCTCTGTATGTATTTTCTGTACATGTGGCAGAATTGACAATAAGACTTTGACTTTGACCAAGAACATTATTTAAGGATTATTCGATGAACAGAAAGTTCTAAACAGGGTTAACTAAAACTAAAACCATAAAAAAAAGCATTTTCATAACTTGAAATAAAATAAATGTTAACTTATTTTACATTTTATTTTAATTCAAAGTTATTTCAGTTAAAAGTTCCCATTTTCATTTAATTTAACTTGATTTACTAAAATAACTAAAACTGAAATGAAAATGAATAAAACTATATAGACGTATTCAAAAAACGAATAAAATGATTAACAACAAAATTACTAAAACTTTACAATTAAAATGAAAACTAAAAAAAAACTCAAAATATTAATATTATATTAACATCTTTACCGTCATTATATTAGTATTTACCGTCATTTTAATCAACGTAATGCATCCTTGCTGAATAAAAGTATTAATTTCTTTTAAAAAATCTTTCTGAGCCCAAACTTTAGAACAGTAGTGTATATGCAAATTGAAGACATAACTGAATACTAGCTGCATTAAACACAAGTTTCTGTATGTTTGCAGAGTTTGTTCTGTACACAAATGTAAAATTTCCTGAAACTATTGTAAGTCACATAATTTACCTATCATCCTTGTCATGGCCAACAGTCACTTCACAGCCAGGGAAAACCTTAGCTGCCAGCACAGGTGAGATGCAGCACAAGCCAATGGGCTTCTTCTCAGCATGGAAGGCCTCCAGCACTGTTTTAACCTGCTCATTGACCGCACAGTCTTTACCCTGGACAGCCCAGCTACACAGGTTCTTCGCTGCTCCAAAGCCACCTGCAAAATAATGTTAAAATAATACTAAACGAAATGCTAAGCTGATTAGTGTATGGACATTCTTCCAGACCTGGTGTGCTAACCAGGGAAGATGATGGCATCCAGATCCTTTACGTTGAGCTCAGAGAGGTCTTGGATATCACCTCGGGCGAGCCTGGCACTCTCCACAAGCACATTTCTCTTTTCCTCTGTTGGAGAGCCTTTCAAGTGATCTACAACATGCATCTGGTCAGTGTTGGGTGCAAATATCTTGACCTGTGGGAAGGTTAGTTCTGTTACCAAAGCCCTGTACAACGTAAAGGAACAATGCTATTTTACAAGGTAGGCTGAAAATTATTTTAAACCAGCTAAACAAAAGTTACAAATATGCTCTAGCCTGTAATGTACAATATTTAATAGTTTAGATGCACTGCTTCTTTGTCAAGAGTGAAGAGAGTGCAGTGTAACCCATGTGAGGGGAAAAGACAGCTTGTCTGTTACAATCCATTCATATGGTTGTGCGATGTCCATGTTTAAATAAGTTAGATCTGATATAAATAGAATCAACTTGATTAGTCATGTGCTCTAGATGAGTCAAATATTCGTTGCATTGGTATGTTATGTTCTGTTTTTAATCTCCACTATTGTATTCTACACAGTGGAGAACATTAGAGCTGATAATCGGAGGTTCCCATTACTTACAGTAGCTTGCTGACGGCTCAAATGAACCAGAACCGCAGACGCCTCGTGTATTTCACTTCCATCAAATACACCGCAGCCTGCCAACACTACAGCAACACGCTTCCCCATGTCTCTAAACGAAGCGAGGTCACCAATTCAACTACGATCGCAATGAACTTGAAAGACTACGAACTTCTGCGTTTCGTCAATAATGAGTATGGTGCCACCGCGCCTCTGCCCACAGCGGAATAGAGTAGCGATTTTCAATTTATAAATGAATCGTTCTTTCGAATCGGATCTTTTTTGTTAATCTGTTGAACAGTCTGAATGATTCGTTCTGAGTAAACAACTTACTGAGCTGAACTGAGAATTGTCTCTTTCGAACATTTAGAACGTCCGATGTTGTCAATTTAGGCAAGAAAAAAATCAACCAAGAGATGTTTAATATAAATGTAAATTATATCGATGTAGCAGACTCGAATAATACTTTTTTACCGGTTATTTGAAATGAACCGTTCTAATGTTCCGAATCGAGGAACTTTTATTTTGAAATGGCTCTTAACAAAGAGTCGTTTCCGTTTCCAGTCATCATATTTGACATGTATGCGATGTAGTGTACTTAGTTGTTATGGTACGTTTATCCGTTAACATATCGCAATAACATGGGTATTTGAGTGAATAACATTAAATTCCTTTATGCAGTTGTGGCCACTATATAGTCCACTTATTGAGTGCTGTACTGGACATGATTAATTCTAGCTAATAACCTTCCTAAGTAGCGCTCAAGTCAACGCCAGTCAGTGTGTATTCATGGCAGGACTGTATCGAGCTCTTCTAACATCTGCCTCCAGTGTCACAAAGGTGAAACTCTTTCACATTTCATCATTAACCTCGATGGATAAATCGTGATAATTGATTTGATGACTGTCATCAAAAAGTGTTTAATAAAACCTTTTTTAAACTGTCATTGCAGAATCTGACACAAGCCATATCATGTCGCACTAAATTCACTAAGAGTCGCGTTCCTCCACAGGTTTGTGACGGTTCAAATGTGCTCGCGTGGTTTTATTCGATTAAGTTTATTGAACGTAATGACATCACACCACATTTTCGTCCTTCAGGTATTTGAGGAACGAGCGAAAGAACATGACAAGTATGGTGGTGATCCGGAATATCCACATAAACTGCATATAGTAACACGAGTTAAAAGCACGATGAGACGACCCTATTGGGAAAAGAAGGTTGTAAAGAGTTTGGGGCTTATGAAGGTGGGATGTGATCATCCATTTTTAAAATTACAATTATATCAAGAAATTATGAAATTCCAGTGAAATATTACAATTCAATACATCATGTTCTTTATCATCAGGCACATGAACCCCGTGTCCACAAGAACACCCCATCAGTGAACAATCTACTCAAAATCATTAAGCACCTAGTTAGGTAAGTTGGACTTACACATTTCACAACACTTTAAATCCGTTTAACATGATTGCTGACCATTAGAATAAACTCGCTTATTTAAATATCTTCATCTGCAGGATTGAGCCTCTCAAGGTCCCCTATGGATTACCTGCCGAGGAGGACATGGCTAACACTTATCTGAATAGCAGAGGGGAGCTGGTGGTGAAACGTCTCCTGAAACCACTTGAGCAGAAAGCTATTGAGTCGTAAAAGTTTTGTGGCCTACCGTTTGTGGTGTTTTTGTTGTTTAATAAAGATTTGAATACCAATGTTCTTTATTGTAGCTCAAACAGTAGAGCATTCCCAGGGAAAGCAAGAACTGCTAAAATGTAAACATACTTAGAATTAAATGTAAGTTGCTCTGGATAAAAGTGACAGCTGACTGCATGAATGTGAAATGTGAATGTTACCAGATCTTCCTCTTTTACAAAACTGTGCTTTTCAAATATCAGTACCTCAGGTGATGTAATATTTAAATCACTAATATGTTCAGTGAGACAGAAAAACATTTTTCATTGACATGAGCAAAACAGGCATATTATATAATTTTTATTAAGTCATGTACTGCTATAAAAGAAAAAAATGCACTTCCTTCACATCAATGGGAGAAAGAGGTGGCAATTCTTAGTGGAACACACAAGTTTGCTTTCTTGGCACTTGTTTGATGCTCACTGATCGGAGCATTAGTCCACCAGAGGCAAAAATATTGATTTTGTCTTTGCACTATTGTTTAAATGCTTCCTGTTGTTTCATCTTACAAAAACTCAATCTTCCTTAGATAATAAATCAGTGCTAAAGAGAGAGAACCTTCACCAGAATTATGCTCCATAGAAAAGTTTCACTTCTGTACATTAAAACTTAAAAGAGAAATGAAATTAAGTATTAACACCCTATCAGGTGGTATTCAGTCATCGTAAAATGGGCAAACATAGGACAAAGGTGACAGAAAAAATTAAATAGACACTGCAAAAAAAAAAGTGGTGTTTCAAGACTTAGGACTGTTATGTAGGAAGCCCTGAGAAAGACGGAGCTTGATGTTTTAGTCCTCTAATCCTCATCGGATTCAGAATCCGAGTCATAACCTTTGCCTCTGATGGTCTTTTTCTCCACCTTGGTGAACTTTGATCCGGACTTCTGTCTAACAGTCGGTGGCTCCAAAAGATTCCCACTAGAACGAGAAAAGACAGAAATGTAAAAGTAGTTTTCATTTAAAATTAAATACATAAAAAACAGAAATTAATACTTTTATTCCGCAAGGACACATTAAATTGATCAGAAGTTACAGTAAAGACATTTACATTATAAAAAATCAATAAAAAATGTGAAATTTATATTCATTAATTATAAATGTATCTTGAGCACCAAATCAGCACATTACAATGATTTCTGAAGGATCAAGTGACTCTGAATACTGGAATAATGGCTGCTGAAAATTCACCTTTGCTATCACAGGAATAAATTACATTTTAAAACATTAAAGGGGTCATGAAATAGAGAATCAAAATGTTTTTGATATTTACGCATATACTTTACAATGTTTTTATTGTAGGTTCCTCTAGAATAAAAACAGTGAAAGTTTCAGAACTTAAAACTTAACCTAGTTTAGAATACAAATTATTTTTTATATTCTTGACCATAAATCGGGAGAATCGTGACATCACGATTCTTCTCAACACGCCCCTTAACATTGAGCATGCCCTGCTCTTCCACTCTGGTGCCCCTGAATGGTGGCCTGACCTCAGTGTATTTAACTATAGAATATATATATCTCCTTCACTCACCTGTAATTAATGATATCTGAGCAGCCCAGTCTCCACTCCAGCATTTCAGTAGGGAATTCATCTATGTTGCCCAGATCAGTGAAGCCCACAATATAATCCTTAGTCTTCCCATCCTTCACCAGAGCCAGTGTTGGAATGACTTTAATCTTCAGCCTCTCTGTTAGGAATGGAGCCTTCTCAACATTCAGCTTGATAAACTTTGTTTCCAGATGCTTCTTTGCCAAAACAGCAAGATGCTTGTCCAAAATTTTGCATCTTTGAAAAAAAAATTAAACATTGAAAATATCTGTATTAGTGTTAATTTCGTTTACGAAAACTATGACGAAAAATGTTCGTTGATTAGCTTTTTGCCCATGACTAAAACGAGACGATGACGTGACGACAATAAGGTCAATAAAAGATACCTATATCAACATGCAATATCGTTGCCGATAAAAGACGAGACCTAAATGTATTTAAAAAAATAAAAACTTTACCAAAATCTCTTTTTATTTTCAAAATAATAATTGGACTGTATTATTGACCAATATAATTGGACTGCTGTACACACCTCTACTACGCAAGCTTTCATGTCTGTGGTTGCCAGATATCAACAGTTCAAATCCCCAAATCAGAGCTTCTCTGTTAAAGGGATAGTTCACCCAAAAATGAAAATTTGATGTTTATCTGCTTACCCCCAGGGCATCCAAGATGTAGGTGACTTTGTTTCTTCAGTAGAACACAAATGATGATTTTTAACTCCAACCGTTGCAGTCTATCAGTCGTATAATGCATGGCAATGGTAACAAAATCTATGAGAGTAAAAAAAACATGCACAGACAAATCCAAATTAAACCCTGCGGCTCCTGACGACACATTGATGTCCTAACACACGAAACGATCGGTTTGTGC